GACTGGTGAAAGGGGGATTTATCAAGATGATCTCTCCAGTTGAGATGACTTGTTTGCTCCTGAGGGGCGCTGGCCTCTTTGTCCATCACCATGGCAACACACTACCATCCAGCAACCTGTTTGTTTATTGGGACAGGGGGTGAGGGTATATGTGATGAAAATGGTTATGTTAAAGATATTTAGGGTTGTTTTGTAATAAAGGAGTGTGATGTTAAACCATTGAGAGTTTATTTATAAGCAAGAGTTAAGATAATATAGAAAATATAATGAGAAAGGGGGGAGAGAGAGAGATAGGAGAGAGTGTTGTGTATGTGGTGCTGTTTTATATAAAGCTAGGAAAGACAGGAGAGAGAAGAATAAAGAAAATGGTAATAGGCTAGTAGTTATTACAGAGGGAATTAGGAATGAGAAGGTAAAGAAAGTGAAGGGAGGGAGGCAGAGAAGCTGACTCGTGGAGCATGGCACAGTGAGGTAGGTCGGTGACGAGGGAGGAGAGAGACACCAGTGCTTGCTTCCTCACTGAGAGAGCTGTGTCCATGCAGCGCTCGTGTTAGGGCCGCACATCCTCAGAAGCAATACACCCCCGTTTCCCTTGTCCTATATATCATCTAGTGTTTTTTATGCTGGTATATACACTGAAAGGAGCTGGTAGTCCACAACATTGATTGGATTATCCTATACCAGGGGTTCATTTGGGGGGAGGCCTCACCCTTTAATCAACCCCCCTTGGAGTTTACATGAACTTTTGAATTCACACAGACACAAGGGTTGCCCCCTTTCATTATTACACATTTTGGATCAACTTATAATATACAAATGAAGGCCTGTATAAAGTAGGCTAGGAACCATAATCTAAAAGACGGTATAATATACCAACCAATTACGCTCCTAAAATGTCACCTCTCTGTTAATGTTGGTGAGGTCCAGTCTGATGATGGCCTCTAGGGCCTGGAGGGCGTTCTTACGAACTCCGACCTTTTGGTCTGTCGTTCTTCTCCTCACCATGGGAACTATCAGACTCTCCACTGGCTCTGGTTCATGGAGGGAGTGCCGAGGGGAGTGAGGGAGGGGAGAGAGGAAGGTAGAGAACGCAAACCAGTAAAGAAAACAGGGGGCTTACGAATGAATCAAGCCAAAAATCCGCAGTCAAATCTCTCTCACACATTGTAATTGTACTTCTAGCATTCACACTTAGACTAAACACAGGTAAACAAGGCGGGCAGTCAGATACTGTAATGGCTCATTTACTATAACTCTTCAAGGTGCCTATAGTTCAGGCAGTGCAAAACCAGTTGCCACACCAAAAACTGGTTCCCCGAAACACCAAAACCCTGACGTGGGTGTGAAGGGTGTCATCAGGGGTTCTTTTACTGGGGCAAGGGGCCACTCACTCCCCTTTGAGATAAACTCTTTGCCTCCTGGAGTTTAGTGAAGCCTGGGGTTTGTTTTTTGTTGGGGTGTTGTTTTTTTGGGTTGTGTTTTTGGGGTTTTTTTGGTTTGGGTGTGTTGTGTTGTTGTTTGTTGTGTTTTTGTGCACGAGTGGTCTGTGGCTGTCTGTGCCGTGAGACATCTCGTCAAGGCCGACACGACCTCCGACCTCTCACTACCGGCAGCAGCTGCGACACAGGTCAGGGCCCTCCCCGAACACTGGACGGTGATGATACAAGTCAACATAAATAACATCGCATCGCACAGCGGGAAACTGTCAAGGTTCGTGATTTGAGCAGAGAAAACTTTTGTGAACAGCTCCCAGACTGAGAAACTCACTGCTCCTCGAGTTTCTCGCTGTGTGTATGTATGGCAGAGTTTTAAACTGATAAAAATTTAGAAATTGGTGGAGATGAATCCAAACTGAATTGTTAGTGCATCTCTGAGGGTTCTTTTAGCGATGCTGTGTAACGTTCTTCAAATACTAGCAGTACAGTAAAACCGGCAGACTAGTAACTGTGCTATACACGGTTCGTATGTTTTGGGGTTGGGGGTGGGTTGTTTTGTTTGTGTGTGTTGTGTTGTTTGTGTTTTTTTTTACTGCTGAATTAGTGGGTATATACTGACGAGGGAGCCTTGTCAGAACACCGAGAGAGGGCCATCTTGACCAGGTACTTGTAGCTCAGTCGGTACTCCTCCTCCCCCAACAGAGAACCTGCAGTGATAGAGACACATTAGTCACCTCTTGACACTGTCATAAGGGCGTTCCTAAATGCACTGCCACTTGTACATTAGTCACCTCTTGAACTCCTCTACACTGTCTTCCTGTAATATAGCACTGCCCTGTTGTACTGTTTAACCAATTCCAAACATCGAATCTCTAACTTTCAGAATACATCTGGCCATCGTCTCTTGAGTTCTGTTTCAGATGGTCGCGGTATTTGTGTGTATTAAGAGTTACTATGTAAAACGGTATGTGCAATAAAAAGGGGAATTCAGACGACGCAGTTGGCTGATTTCGCTCGCTGACAAAGAAAAAGGAAAAGCCAGTGTGTCTCGTAGTACATACCTTCCTTGGGTTGCCTGAGGGGGCGTGTGAGCAGTTCCGACACCATCTCCACTGCAAACACACGATTGCTGAGACCTGTACACATGTGGAACAACATACGGAGTCACAATTTTACTAGACTTGCAGTTGATGGAGCATGCACAGAATAGCAGTCATTACATGTTACGTACCTACAAATTGAGCACGAAACACACTTGGGCTACACTTCAGGCATGTGAGTGCGGTTTTAACCATTTGGACGCCATTGGTATCTGCTTAAATAAGCAGAAAATGATGTATAAAGTACTAGCTCCTAGTATTATAACCACCATATAAATTATTACGGACTTATGGAGGCTCTGGACAGTCCGTGGCTGGTTAAGTGTTAAAAGTGTGATGCGGTCAAAAGTGTCGCGTGTGAACTATCCTCCATTGAAAAAATATTTGCCTCCATAGGCACTCACTCCAGTATCCCCCAAATTTATGAGTACTTGACTGAAGGAGTAACCTCCAATTATTTGTTGGCCTATATTATAGTTATGTACAGACATTGTTATACCTATGTACCTTGATGTTTCTGGCGAGTCTGGAGAGCCACTCCAGTAGCTGAGAGTAGAACTGATCTGGAAACTGACTCAGCAACTTACACACCGTCTGCGGAGGAAAGACACATGGAATTAGTGTGCAGGTGTGCCCCCTCCTCCAACAAATGTATGTATATACAGCGCTCTCCTAATTAGGAGCAGAGACGTGGGTTTCGAGTCCCACCCAGAGCAGTCCGAGTTGTCCTGTTTGGTATACAACTACCTCGCACGCTGACAATCCGTGATTCATGCATATGTGAGTTTTGAAAGACTGAAGCTTTTACACTGATGTCCATTAGATGCAGATGTTTCTGCATGAGTAGTGGTATGGTGTGCATTGCAGCCAAACAGGAACTTCTCCAATGTCATGACGAACAGAGAGGCAGACTAGATATGTGCATATTATGTAGACAATAGCCCAACTACACTATGACAATCCTCACATTGGCCATCTTGGTCCTATACTCGGCTCTGTCGGGAGTCTTTGTACACAGCTGTTGGACGAGACCCTTCAGTGGTACTAGAACCCGCTCTCCACACTCTGCCACTAGGTGACTGCAGAGGGAGGAGGGGAGGAAGAGATCGTGAGAGGTATATACTTGTATGGAGGAACTTACTAGTGCAAACCCTTAGCACAGAACCATGTTCCTCCAGCGATTAATTCTCGCAATAAGCAAAATAATAGCACTGCGGGTGCATGCGTGCCAATGGCGGACCTGGCCGCGGTAAAAAAACATGCTCTAAGGTAAGCAGTTTTAGAGAAACGGCTTTTTACAGACATGCAAGAAAACTCAGCCTTTCGCTTGTCATAGAGTGAAAAAAAGTGTTCCTGCATGTGCCAGCCAGGTTTTTTTTAAGGAAGGGAAGACAACTCTTGAGTAGAGCAAAACTTAAAGGATTGAACATGTCCAGGAAGAAATGCAATACACCTACACTATATACAAACATGGTCCTTGTTATCTTGGTACTACTAGTCGGCCATCATTACTGTTACATATGCTCCTCACCAGATGAAGACAGTGGCATTGCTGGAGGGAGAGGTGAGGTGGGGAGGGAGGGAGGAGGAGGAGGGGTGGGCACTGCCGTCACCCTTCAACATCAGCAGAGTTGGCAGCAGCTGAATAAATATCTGAAGACACAAACACACACAACTATGGTTGTGGTATTATAGCCACTGGCTAAAAGTGATCTTAGGCTTAATTGTCTGACAGTAGATTGAGTGGATCACCCCTCCAATCTAGATATTATACCAGTAGGTTATAAAAAAGAAAATGTCCATAATTGGTGAGGTGTGCTTGTTTCAGCTACAAGAAGTGTTAGTGGCAAAAGAAAATTTATTAGAGAGGTGTCCTCATAATTGTCAGGAGTGTGTTAAGAGAGGGGTTCCATTCATACTATTCCGATGCTGTCATTGCACATTACCAAAAATCCTGCAAATGGTTCCAAAGCCATAATGAAGAGATTACTTGTGACAATGATCATGGGAAAAAGATGGTAAGATTAGTATGTAGGTAGTCTCGCATAGGAAGACTCGTTACTCGCGGGGATAAAGAGTCTGGTCCACTGACGTTGAGAGTTTTGTTTAGCATGACCTCAGTGTGTAAAATTACGTCAAGTGCACATGCACAGTACCCAAACTTCAAGAGTGTGCTAAACTATGCTTGTATAGAGGTCATGCATAAACTTGCGCAAACCACACCCAACATATGCACTCTTTCCCCCTCTGGAAGCCGGGGCCCGCTAATTAAGGATTAGACTCTTTCTCCTAGAGAGCAAGAGTCTGGCTATGGAGGAGAATAGCATACCTCAGTGACAGATTTTTTATCTCCCTCCGCTGACCCAGTGCCAGGGCTGCCAGAATCCTCCAGGCCACTACCTCAACATCATCACCAGCACCACCAGCGCCACTGGAACCATTGAACAGACACACAGGAACTGATTCCGCGCCCTACACTATGCTTCGTGTACATCTCGGTAACTAATCCCCTCCCTTGCCTCGTACCCAAGGTCTTCAGGGGAGAAGAAAGAGTCTGGTATCCACTTTTCTCCACTTGAAGGGCCTGGGTACGAGGCTATATACAGTGGAACCTCCGAATAAGGGACACTATGGGGCCAATGATTTTGTCCCTTGTAGAGAGGTCGTCCTTATGTATCTCGAAGGTAAAATAATAGTATTAGCATGGAGTTGATACAAGTAAAGAGGTAGTCCCTATCTCGGAGGGTCCCTTATATCAGAGGTTCCACTGTAATCCACTCCCCTAATTTAGGGTCCCTTCCCTCACCTGTGAGAGAGTAGCATGTGAGAGGTGAGAGTGGTGCCCGTGGTGTGCTGTGTGAGGAGGTGAAGTGCCACCTGCACCAGCTGCTCCCTGGCCCCTGTCTCCCCCACAGACAGAGACGGACAGGCCTTGGTAAACTCCAACAGGTCCTGTAGATACAGTACACAGGTAGCAGGTTGCTGGTAGTCTAGTACCCAGCCGCTCCTCCACCCACAAGGGAGGGAGCGTCTGGTAGCTATTGACGCAAAACCAGGTTCTGAACACGTCACCACCAGCGGCACATATTATCCAAACCGCTCTTTTACTATGTGATGCATACGAGGCTCCGATTACAAAAGCTGCGTACTACGGATAGACGTAACATTGATTGGCCATTCTGCGATCTGATTGGAGATCTCGATTTCTTGATGTAAGACCAAGAAATGTTACCAGACCCCTTTCCCACGTGATGAGTGGGTGTGGTCTGGGCACGAGACTAGCACGTTGGGAGGAGAGCACTAAAGAGTGAAGTGAAAACATGCACAACACAAATTCCCAATACCATGATGTCGGGGGGAGAACCTGGATAATCGTGGGCGATACTAGTGGGCAGAACTTTTTACCAACTGATTTATAGCACTCTCTGTGGCAGTTATACAGAGCTGGCGCCAGAGTGCACCAGGGGGACATAGTCCATCTATCTCTTCGTTTGTCCCCCTAAATATTTAATCACAAACTACTTTAAAGTTGTGTCATTTTCATGTGGCACAGTGTCTAAGACATGGGCTGCAGAGATACATAAGTGTACTTCCCAGGGGACTCTTTGACCCCAAGATAGTAGGCTTGCTGTTATTAGGACCACCTAGTGAGGCTGATTGTCCCTCAGCAATAAATCTCTGGAGCTATATAATTTAGAAATGTTAAATGTTACTAAAGATAGAACAAAACATTAGGGCACAGTGAAAGAATGCGGCTTTTAGTAACGTTTCTAAATTTACCCCTTATATACTGACACATTCCATTTAAATGCACATAATCACATTTCGTCTAATTCATCCTCGAAAGTTTTCGTGACAAAAACTTTCTTTTTAATCACTTTGCGAACACACAGTCAACCCGGCACCCACCCCAGTCAGTTGAGTAAGAAGAGAAGTCCTTTCTCTCTCACTGCCCTGTGACATCACATCCAGTGCTGAGTCCTCCATTAGCGAGCTCTCTCCTCCCCCCTCCTCCCCCTCCTCCACCTCCCCTCGTCTCCTCCTCTTCCTCCCTTCCTCCCTCCTTCTCCTCTCCTCCCCCTTCCTCCCTCCCCTCCCCTTCCCCTACCCTCACCTGCACGACATTCATACAATCATAAGTCACAAGCTATCCGTGCCCGCCACGGTTTACGCACTTACATTACTCACAATATTTACAGCTTTTGTGGGGAAAATAGGCCCCAATACACTGCATTGTAAGGTTGTACAAAAACAACAATAAGACAGTCATATATACCTCGTCCAGCTCTCGTTCCAGACAGTACATAAACCACATTCAATGCTTTCTGGAAAATGATCGGCTGGAATGTCTTGAAAGCTGTGCTTCCTACACACACAACCATTACAAGAGGACACATGCATACTTTTTGATGGGTGTATATAGTCAGACAGAGTAGACTAGCAAACAGTTCCTTAGAATCTCCTGCGCTTATTACAAGTGCACCACAAACATCTCTCTACCTCCTCTCCTCCTCCGCCTCAGTGAAGAGAAGAAAAGCAATTCCTAGAATCTACCGCGTTCGTTACAAGTGCACCGCAAATCTCTCCCTCCCTCCTTCCCCAAGTGTTAGCTGGAGATAACTATGTAACACACACCTGGTAGCCTCAGGAGACACAGGTAGGTCTGAGCAGCACACACACTACGCCCCACTTCTTCCACTGACTGTATAGAGATACATGGTGTGTTTGTCAAACGAAACAGCATTTGACGCACAAATTGTTGCTAGGCCTACAGATTTGGCAAGCCAACACGAGGTCACACACGCAGCATATACATCATCTGGAAAATATTACGCTACATGTATGTGGGAGTCCGTGTAGTCAGACATCTAAGTAGACTCACTTCAATCACCGATAAGCATCGTGCAATGTCAATGTAATGAGGCTTCATTTGCCCGCCAATTATGCCGAAAGCAGTCTATAGTGCCAAGTGAGAGTGATTATGCCGAAAGCAGTCTATATGCCAAGTGAGAGTGCATGCCCAAACACTCAGTGCATAGCTCGTTTGAAGTGCTCAATCCGATTTGTCAGTAAGAGGTGCCCGATTTCTCACATGAAAAAAACTTGTGTAGCTCAACATGTTTGCACGTCGTGTACATAATATAACTTACTTGGCTATTTCTGTCCAGAATGGAGAAGATGAGAGCCAGTAGAGCTCTGTGGGAGACTCCACATTCTACTAGAGTCGTCCACAGCCCTGGACCTACCATATAATACACCCGGTACCAATAACAATAGCAATAAACTGAAAAAATGCATGCGCACAGAGGGTTAATAACTGCCCACACAGAGAGGCTTATTAAGCTACTATGAGAAGGCTTAGCAGTGTAGTCTCGCAATCCATACACCCACCCCTAGAAGGGTCTGGCTGGGTTGTGAGACTAGCTAGCTGCAGACAGGAACAAGGCTGTCACTAGTCACAGCTTTCTATGGAGCTACTATCGGCCTACGTACACGTACATACAGTACCTGGCTCTTCTGTCTCAGAGTCCTGACTGGCACTACCACCACCGTCTGCTGTAGCAGTCAGCCACTTTCTGCACACGTCCACCACCGCCCGCCATGTCCGCACGCTCAGAACATCCTCTCGAACCTGAGGGGACACGCACGAACGTCTCCCTCACAAGGCCATACTAACCATAGCCTACCTGCGAAGGGAGGGGTGAGTTCTCGCAAAAGTTCTCTTCCCAGCAACGCCCAACCCAGTCTTCTGGCAGCTCCTCCACCCCGAGAAGCTTGAAAGCCTCCAACGTCCTTTTCTGCAAGCTCATGACCGGAGTGGCAGCACAAATCTCTCCGTCTCAACACTCAATAGCTAGGCCTTCTTTTTCCCGCCACTCGGGGAGTGCGAAGGTCATACGCCTCGAATTGGGAGCAAAGAAACTCGCACTACGAGCGACACTACAAAAACGCTTAAAAGTATTCTGGCTCAGTTTAGGTCATGGTACAAGTGCACAGTGATGTACAGAAAACCCACAAACATAGCACAAGTATAATATTCTGGGGTTTTCTGTACACTACGAACGTAGTATGTTTGTGCACTTGTACTGACCTACACTGAGCCAGAAATGCCATAAGATTTGGGCTTTATTGTAGTGCGAAATCTTCTTCTTCTTCTTTTCGTTTGTAGCCTCCACTGAAGGAGAGTATATAGCCTATTGGGTGGGCAAAAGTTGGGTGGCAGTCAGAACAGCCGTGCCCGCTCTATGGAGATGGTAAATGAACTAAACAATCGCGCGTGCGCTAAAGATATTTTTTATTACACCACGAAGATGGATGATAGTATAACCGATCTATACAAACTTGAAATAATAAAAGCTCTATAACATGAGCTATAATTATAATACAATAGTGTGAGGGTACTACTCTGTCCCGTCTTCAAGTATGAGAGGAACTGCGGTAGAGAGAAACAAAACACAAGTAAATAGATTGCCATGCTGACAAGACGATGGGTAAAAAATATGGTCAAATGTAAGTGAGGTAACTCCAGGCACGACACAGAACACAGGACATGTATATACATGCATTAAGTAAGAGGTAGTGGGATCATGTAGTCTTGTATATATACAGATTCCTGCAATCTTTTAGATGACGTGCAGAACTTTCTGAGCAAAATTGGGACAGGGCCCAGGTGCTCAAGTCACAAGGGGCGGGGTGGGCTTCTGATGCGAAATCTGGTACTGAAAGCACTTGACATGTTTGGCGATCTGATTGGAGATTTTGAGATCTTCCACGTGATCAGTGGGTGGGGCCTGGTCACAAGACCAGTGATCATCATGCTTATACACTTCTCTTGTTGTTGGATACCTTCTGGTGGGTCTTTGTGTTGGTGAAGGAGGGTCGCCGCCAATGGTGAACTCTGCACTCTGGTTGGCACGAGCAAACCGAGGTGATTCGAGATGGGCAGGGCAGTTTACCACACACCCTCCCACCCCCATGCCCAGCAGAGGCTGCCTCTCTCCCTCTAGTGTTGCTCCATATCGCGAGGACTCTGCAAGTTCTGTTGGGAGAAAGATTCAGGTGTAGTATAATATGACACAGTCCTTCAGTCTGTCTGCCACAAGGTCAGAAGTGAGGCAACAACATCTGCACATGCACACAACTAGCATAACTTACTCTCACGGAAGGCCTGGGAGAACGGGGCTAAGCAGCACACTGTAGGCTCCCTTACTACTAGATTCTTCTCTCAGCTACAAGTTTGTAAACAACAACAAACAGCCTCAGGCAAGTAAGTGATGTTTTGGCTATAACTTGCTTATGCTGGGTCATCTAACAATAAAACTTGGTATATACAGACTTCCGTTGAAATTGGGGACCTCTAATAATACTGCTTCGAAAGAATGACTCCCATGTCATGAGCCTGCACATATTGTGTAATGCACGCGAAACCAGGCCTTGCCCCCTCCTACATATGAAGGCATGAAGAGGGTGTTTACAGCTGATATACACAGAGAGAGGAGAGAAAGAGGAGATATGTGTACCTCTAATCATATCGTAGTCATTATCCTCATCGTCAGTGCAGTCCCCGGTCCCACTGTAGGCCCTGGCCCTAGCTGCACGGACCCGGCCCAACTGCCCATTGGCAAAGTCCAGCAGTAGTCCCTTGGACCTCACGTTCCAGTGTTCCTGTAGGAGGAGAAAGAGGGAGAGCACAGAGAGAAGGATGAATACGACTCCTCATAAGTGGAAGAACTTATTGAAGGTTTTTGAAGGTCTATGTATATAGCAGCTAAAGGAGCACACTCACCTTTCTTCATTTCGTTTGACACAGTAGTATTATAGATACGCCTGAAAAACTGAAGTACAACGTATTTTTGTGGAGTGAAGCAACCTTTGACCACTGCACGTAATGTTCATGCATACGCATTGCCATGGTGCAGACACTTCAGTCAGTCAGTCAGATACACAGAGAGAAAAGTGTGCGATTGTGACAACTATACAGATGGGATCGCTTCTCTTGCCAATTAAGAGCAGGGTGAGGGGGGGGGAGAGAGAATAATATTACTAGTGGGAACAGAAGGGTAAGAAAGTGAACAGGGAGAGAGTGAGGTAATAGAGAGGAAGTAATAGAAAGGACGTGTAAGGGTAGAAAGGTGAGAGGATGGAGGAAGGAAAGTAAACAGAGAAAGGTGCCCATTTCAGGGAAGTGTGTATATATGGCCTTTTCCACAGGAATGAATGCTCTACACATACAGTATGTATGGTATGCGAATACAGTGTGTACCGTATGGATGGTATTAGACTAACGTGGAGTGTCTCGTAGGTGTCAGAGATGAGAGAGATGAAGACACTGAGCACAACGTAGATGAACAGGGAGATGAATGCATACAGGTACACCTGCAGCGATGGGAAGAAAATACATTAATCAAAGGCCACCAGCTATGTAGATGGTATTTAGAGCCAGGCTCTAGTGAGTTCTGAAATCTGATTGGTCAATCAGAGGAATACTATTTCACATAGTATTCCTCTGACTTGACAGAGGACTTCATAACATGGAAATCGTCCCCATGGCACATCCCTTTGTGCTCTCCTGTGCAGAAACGTGGCTACAACATGTAAATGTGAAAATCATATCTGCATAGAAAGTTTAGCTACGTTTGCCGGGTATTTTGTCACTACTGGCGTCACACCCCATAAACTGTAGCACCTCATACGTACACAAACACCCTAGCCTCGAAACCGGGCCTTCTCCCTCCTCCACGCACACATAATATGTACTCCGTAGGTTATTATTGTGCTTGGGAGGATCTTCGGAGGGAGAAGGCCTGGACGATTTTATCACGTGATGCGTGCCGCGACCGTCATTCTACGCCACAAAGCTGTTCGAATTCTGTGACGTAAGGCTAACACAGCTTTGCTAGAATCCTGGCGTAGCCACACCCTCTCGAACTAAACGTCATCCTACGTAGATCGCGGCACGCGTCACGTGATAATTAATCGTCCAGGCCTTCTCCTCCGAAAATACTCCCACGCGTAATAATAATATACGGAGCATGTGCATGTGGAGGAGGGAGGAAGGCCTAGTTTTGAGGCTACACACACCCCACTCCTCCCACGATGAGAGACTAAGCACACAAAATGGAGACACACTTAGTTACGTCTTTGCCTAGTTGTCCGTCTCCACTCATTGGATTAGTCCTCCCACTTGGTGTTAATAATTTGTACTTGGCGTGAACTCCACACACCCAATTAAACATGTGAAATATGGCACCACTATTACGTAATACAGTGAATGCCAACCCTGAACATATTGCAATATATATAGCAGTCGGCAATTTGCTAGTTTGACAGATGAGAGTGAACTTTCAAAAGCACGACGAACAAGAAACATTCAGGGAGCTCACGTGCTAATATAAACCATAGCTCCCAAACAGTAAAATTTGCAAAAGCCTGCCATTCAGTAAGAGTATATATGTACACTATGCTTTATACTGAGCTGAGGGGAGATGCCTTCTTTTGTTAGCGGATAGGAAGTACATATACTGTGAAAATGGCTAAGTTTTTTTCCCTCAAAGTTTCCTATTTGGCTTCTGTGCTGGGGGAGATGCTTAGTTGTTTAACACGTTGCACGTGGTAGGCCACTATAGTTGCCCTCATGAATAATTAATAAGGGTTATAAAAAGTTGAAAAAATAAAAAGATTAAAAAAGTGGCACTGGTGGGATTCGAACCAATGCAGCACACTGCCCTCTGGACCAACTCCTCTACGAGGTGAACACGCATTCAACACACGCGATCTGTGGTATGAGACTGATGTACACACCTTGGAGAAGATCCAGGCAGAGAAGGAGGCTCTAGACATCTCCTGGTAAGTGTTGTAGATGTCGTCTCCGTTCAGGAGAGCAAACAGGTTCTCTGAGGTCGTGCTGGGATCCACAAACTGCAGAGTGCAGAGTAATGTGAGAGATGTGTAAGCACTTGCATGGATAGCTTTCTTCACGGGTTACATCAGAGACATTTATGTACAGTTAGCTGTGCATAAGTAAGTAATGGACGATCGGGCATCTTTATTACGTACATACGTAGCTGACATTCAAGGGTGTTGTGCCCCTGTACAGTTTATCCCCTTGACACAAGTTATTTTGCTGTTTTCCCCACTGTAATAACAGAAAGTGAAGTAGAAGGCAGCAGGCCACCAAGGGTAGAGCGAGGGAGTGTGCATGGAGGAAAAGTGTTAGGAGCAATGATAGTATAGAGCAGGAAAATGAGGTACAGGGAAAAGTACAGGGGATGCAACTGTAAGAGCTTTAGAGGGAAAGAAAAAGGGTAGGAAATTGATACTATAAAGCAGGAAGGAAAGCATATCAAAAACATCACAGTGATGAACAAACATTAAAAAAAAGGGAATATCAGACTCTACCTTAGGGTGGTAGGCTCCCAGGACCAGCCATCCACAGAAGAGGAAGGCCAAGTAGAGGATCCCGGCACACACAAAGAACCTCACCACACTGGGAATTGAGAGCCTCAGAGTGAGCAGGAGCATGTTGTACTTGTCGAAATAGCTGAGAAAACGGAGAATTCCGCACCACTGGGCAAAACACGCCAGGCCCACTATGATGCTGGTAATGTCAACCATGTTCATTGAGTCTGTGGACGGCTGTGGGGAAGAACAGTGTGTCCCTCTCATACATATGCACGTATGTATCGAAGTACAGTAGAACCTCCAATAAAATGACTCAATAGTGACACACTTTGAGGTCCAAAACGTTCACTATCTAGTAAATTTTCAACCTCCAGAGAGAGAACACCTCCCTATAAAGGACAAATATGCCTGGTCCCAACGTGTCCATTTTTAGAGTCCCACTATACACGTGTGTAACCCTTTACACAAAGATAGATTAAGAGGGGATACAGATTGAAAAACAGAAGGACAAAAAGGGAATGAAGGTATATAAATGAGGGAGCATAAATAGAGAAGCGGAGAGGGAGGTTAGAAAAGGAGCAGGTGGAGGAAGAGGGAGGGCAGGAGCTAGGAGCAGGAAGGGGAAGAGAAGGATAAGAGAATGAGGTGGGGAGGGAAGAGAAGGATAGAGAATGAAGGAGGAGGGAGGGAGGGAAAGAGATGAGGGAGGGAGAGAGGGAAAGAGAAGGAGGGAGGGAGAGGGAAAGAGGAGGGGGAAGAGAAGGAGCGAAGGAGAGAGGTTCACCTCAAAAAAGATGATCAATCTGAGCAGTGCTCCGACGGTGGCGAGGCAGTTCCCAAGGATGACTCCCGTGAACCAGAGATTGAACAGTGGCATCAGGTGCTTCCACTTGAGTCTGTAGCTGAACTTCTGGAGAAGAAGGCCCGCACTATCTGGGCAAAGTAGGGACGCTTGACTAGGGAAACGGAGGTGCATGATGGTGGAAGATGGTCGCAAATATTCCGACAAAGATGTCAAGAGCTCAAGACCGATCATGTTGTACTTATCACGCCACCTTTTAGGGAAGAAGGAGGGAGGACAATGATAGTGAAACAAACCCGTTATTGCACCAGCTTACATGTAAGTAATGCGTTAAGTGGGAATCGCTATTTCCACTGTAGTTTATCACTTCCACCTTTTGGTGAGGAGGTAGATAATAGTGAAGCAAAGGTTTCTCACTTGTAAGCGGAGTACTGTATAAAGACGTAGTGCAAATGGACATCGAAAGAGCTGCTGCTCATTTGAGCACTTTCAAGCCTTTCTTTATCAAGCACCATATCCATATAGCGAATGTTGGAGGTGCAACGATCAGCCGGTTTGCGACAGTAGATGGTTCCCATGCCTGCAGTACTAACAGCTCCTTCTCACCTTATGACCATAATCTTCTCGTGAATTTACGTCTCAAAAAAGCAATGGGCCTTGAAATTTTGCACTACAGTTATTCACTGAGACGAACACGGAAGAAAAGATATTCAAAAGCACCATTTAGCACATGCAGTACGTACCAATTGGTTCGGCATTGGTGTGGTTATGACAGGCACTCTGCTGGGTCTTCGAGCGTCATGCACACGGGCATATTTCCACTGGCAATGTCGTTGGTTATCATGATCTGGGGGTATTTCAAAAATTCAGAGGACACACTGCGATAGTAGACAGCAGATTCTAATGGTAGTGGGAACACCAGGCAAAGATCTGTGCAAAACATCACCCGAGACCGAAAGGTATTACTAGCTGAAAACAAAACATCACCCAGACGACAAAAGGTATACTAAGCTGAAACACAAACAGGTTTCGTTGCATGTCTGCATAACAGAAAACACAAGCCACTAAAAGCAAAAACTAACCTGTGTGTGGGAAACTAAATAGCAAAACTCAACAAAACAGCCACATATCTAGTAGCCGAATGGTCCTACACAAGTCATGCAGTTGAAAACACTGCGTAGGCGATAAGGGGTCAGATCTTTTGGCTTCTTTCTCTCTCTCTTGATCGACTATCTTACATCTTGTTTCAACTCCATAGTGTGCTAAACACAAGTGTGTTTCCTACGTGTATGTACATAATACAGCTGCATATGTACAGTATAATATACTGTAGATACCTCCATCTGAAAAATAGAAAGCACGTTTGAGTCAGTGTGTGACTGACATAATGAGTCTGAGGTCAAACGCTATTCTTCATCTTCTGGATACTGGTAGAAGAGTCAGCATCATATAGAGCACACTGACAGACTCCATAGAGATGGGGTGCAATGTGGCAACCAACGCGACAAAGACTAAAAGGTTGCAGTTCTCTCTGAAGCAAATACGCAATAATTTCATGTGCAAATCTTCACGGATCAGCCAGTTTTAGTTGTTTAGTTACCGTAACTCTACACCTCATGCATGGTGCAAACATGGATGAGTTGCTTTCGTGCTGTGTAATCAGTCATTGGCCATGCGATTCTAGCTCACAAGTATATACAGTCTGTGCACATGGTCCATACACCCGACAGTTAAAGCATGTACACTAACTTAAGACAAATACTCAGAACTGAAATAACGTGTCCCGTGAAACGACGCTAACAGTAATGCTACGTATAGTATAGTACCTGGTGAGGGTACTCCGCTCTCAACTCAGACCTTGTCAAGACCCCTGAGCTGATATCCTCATTCAAGACTCATCACTGATCTGTGGGGAGGGGCGCAATATTATGAGACATGTACTGATCTCTGTGGGGAGGGGAGGGGGGCAAACGAGGGCGGCCTATAGTAGAGACCTGTACTGATCTGTGGGGGAGGGAGTGCAATATTAGAGATGGTGTAAACTGCAGGCTCCATAATTCGTTGAGACGATACACTGACATCATGAAAGTTACATGCTCTCGTCTTCTTATGCCAAAAAACCTGAACAATCGACAGGATTTTTGCAGTTCCCCACTTTGCATGAAAACAACTACTGAATCTCTCTCGAAGCAATATGAGCCACAATCCTGCGACCCATAAATCCTTTTTGTACCCCGGACAAGTTGAGGGACAAAACATGCCAAATTTAAAATGGGAAAAAACAAAGACCCACCCGGACCAGGATGAGTCTACACCTTTCATCTATGAGGCCTGGAACTCTATATTGCTCGACATACACCATAAACTGCAACCCCTTTCCCCGTCTACTCCTATCTACAGTACAAGGTTCCGTACTGCGATTAAATACTACAGTTTCTCCACACAGGTACGTATAAGCTAGGGCGTGATGCTGTTCGGGACGTACGCCACGTCGCTCTCCGTGACTAAACCTGTGGGCGGCCTTGGTGGTGGATTAGGGATGCTGTCATCAAACTGAGAATCTCCATCGTGAGACGTTCAGATCAGTGCAAAGGGTGTTACTGTGTCAGCCAGTTTCGCGTAGCAGTCACCCCATCAACTGACCCACCAGCGCCTCATCGACAGGTGGTCAGTACTGCAAGGACAGGCCTTTATGCATCGACCACCATTATCATCTTCATGTCAAGTAAAGGGACAGGGTACTTATTCTGTTTACCCATACCATCAGAGACCCTAAGCGCTGACAATGAAACCGACTTATTACCCTCATCTTCTGACGTTTTATTTACATACAAGCACCTAGGATTGAAATTCTCATGAACAAAAACAACCTGAACTACTATGGGAGTCACCACATCCACCACGTGAGACCTAAACCTCTACACTCTATCAACGGCTATATACTAGACAATGGCCATTGTCGATTGCTACTTTGAAAACAACGTATTTACCTCACACACTCGGGGGAAATCTCTCGTGTATGTAGGTCCATCTGAAAATACACGCGGGAAAATCCCTATCCACCATTGATTCCAAGCATCTACCAAGCACGGAAGTGCAAACTACTGCTCGGTATACTAGAATCTGCTTTCATTCCTCAAAAGTTTGTACGACTACGCTCTGAAAAAACACCTGATGTACGATAGCCAAACTTCCAAACGAGCCACAACTGTACTGAGCTCCTTAATCTCTGTGGACGGTGATGAAGTGATCTGACTGTAGAGCTGGTCCACAGTGTACATGCGTTGATATGGGGGCGGCGCGATGTCTGGGCTCGAGGCCTCAGCCACATCCACGCTGGGGCTTTGACCGGGCCCGTTCTCTCTGAACGAGTGAACAACTGTCTTGTGTGTTGCTCTCCACGAACTGCATGCAGACGGTTAGCTTTGCGTTGGCAACAAAGAATTGATGAGTCTTGGTGTGCCTGTGTGTGAGGTGTTTGTAAGCTACTAACATAGGAGTGAGAGCGAGCAGGAGAAAGGGATGTTGGGTTGGAAATGATGACATGGTGATGTAATGAGGGGTTGAAACTGTATAGGAATAGTTTGGATGTTTTAGGTATGAGATGGTACATGTGTCCAGTATGGAGGCATGTTACGAAGGGATTCTACAAGATACAAAGTGTATGCATTGACGTGGCTGTACTGGCAGAATACTGAGAGCAGTTTACGGCAAATCAGATGCACCAAAGTATAAAATACTGGTCACACGAACAGGCTAATAATGTACATTATGTTGGATGAACTATAAATGGCACTGCATAAGGATATTACAGCTACTGTATGTATGTATACAACACAGCAAACGGCATGCACATCATTAGCCGGGAACTTGCGAGGGCGACTGCGAGGTAGAAAGAATGTATATATATATACCCCCATCATTTTTTGTAGGTGTGGAGATTTTTATCTTGCACAAGACGCTTGTTTCTATCACAGACTTCTTTTGTCTCTCAAGAGTCCTACATACATACGTACGTACCTGCAGAGTGACAAGAATTGTATTGAGCAGCTGCACAAACAGTTTCCACGGGAACCTCCGTCGCTTGGCATTGCGCCACTTCTGGAAGGGGTTCAAGAAGTGGAACTGGAGGGAGGTCTTCATCTGCTCCACCTCCATGTCCTCCACGTTGGCACTGCTCCCCCGCGGGTGCATCTCCTTCTGCTGACACGTGATGTACATGCAGGACCGAAACGTGAAATTGAAGAAGTGATTGCAAGCTGGGGTGGAATGGGGAGGGGGGAAGGAGAGGAGGGAAAAGAGGTTGTAAAAGAATCCAATTTTAGAGTGAGCGTTTCACGTTGAGCGTTCTGGCTTTCCTGTTTGTTCGAATGGTGGAGTGCTTCTAATGAGGACTCAATGGAGACAGGCAACTATAGCACATCCTCCCAGACCTCCATAGGTCCCTGTAACTAGAGCACCGTCAATACATACAGTATTTATAGCATGTAACACATTCCTGTACATGTCATACAGTACATAAGTATATTGTACGTATATTGTAGGCATTAATCAAGAAGGGCATCCAAAAAAATTGTCTACGCAGCGGCTTGATGAATATACAGTCCTTGTGCATGACCAGTGGCTATACTCCGCACAATGCATACCACTTGTGCTGTCAGCACACACCAGTAGCGGTGGACAATAAGCCCACTCTGGAAACACGCAGTGCACTAACGTAATGAGTGAAAACACATTGCACTAATACGTTTACTGTATGTACACATTTCGTATATACATGCTTCTACTTGTGCCCAGATCTTGCCTTCAGGAGAGGCACCGACTCTGTTGACTATCGAACAATCTCTTGGTTGTACAGACTCACAATCTCGTGTTTACTATACACTCTGTGAATTATCAGCTGTTTTAATGCAGTTGTGAAGAAGCCTGCATGTCCAGGACATACATAGTGCACAACCAAAGAAATCACTCGATAGTTACCAGAGACCTTTTTCTCTCTCCTGAGGACGGTGTCTGGACACGAGTCTACATATGTATATGTAGCTAAATTTCAACCCCACCTGCTTTGCAGCAGTCTTTGCAAGAGAACTCATCCTCCTGCTCGTCCAGGGAGGCCAGGGTGGTGAGGGAGGGGTACAGACTCTGCTTCTCATGCTGCCCGGACGACTCCACTATAATCGCTGGGACTTTGTTTGAGGCCCGGCTGCCTCGGCGACCGTGTCCCCTGGGGGTGGTGGTGACAGACGCCACAGAGTCCTCCAGCTCTCCTCTCTGGGTACCACAGTTGGTGCTCACTGAGTCATAGTGGCGGTGAATGGCGGCTACAGCCCTCCCTACCTTGGCCATGTCTCTCAACGGTTTTGGAGGACTCTTAGGCGAAAACACCTCCAGCTTCCCGCTGCGTACTGGGAGAGAGAGAGAGAGAGAGAGAGAGTTTTCAAGCGACAAAATAGACTCGTTCAGGGATTATGTAGCTACTACCCAGCTGGCTCTAGAGCCCTCATGTCACTTACACCTACGGACTTTTGCCGAAACACGGTGTACGCGTGTAGTAAACATCGATCTTTACACGCAAGCTCGAAGGAAGCACAGCTTACAGGTAGTCATAAAACTTACGGTATATGCTTTACGTCTTTTCCTTTCACTTTTCCTTTTCGGTTTGTTTACGAAATACTCCAGAGAGCGCATCTGCTGTGGACGCCGACGGTCACGAGCTTTTACGGGGGCGTGGCTTGTATAAACCACGCCTTGTGTATAGCCTCTGACCTTTTACTCGTTCGATCCTCCCTCCTCCTCGCGCGCGCACGAGAGGACAATCCTGCGCATGCGCTGAAATAGCTCCCCACTAAAGAGGCGGGGCTACGTTTACACACCCCCGCACCACAACACCGGAAGACGGTGAATAGCATTTGGGCTGGGACGTCTCGCTGCTGCAGTTACTAAACAAATCCCACGGTTCTTTAGGAGTCGTGGGAAATGGCCGTGGCCAACGACGGCACCTACGACACTCTGAAGCGAGCACCCAGCTACTCAGGCTCCTACACTGTCTCCCTGTCAGGAGATAGTGCCTTCTCTATTGAAGACCTCGGCTCCGTGGACATAGGTGAGCATCAGTGCTTGTTTTAGGTTTTAGAACGGTCCATGAGTGTAAACATAGTGCTCGGGCAACAATAATCATACTTGTGGTAGCTAGCTGCAGCAATAGTGGTAGTGAGCGTGCACGCTACAGCAGATTAGTTACTTGCTGGTCACATGAAGGCGGAAAGATGCTGCCCGTGAGCCGGTCGTAGATCGCTCGTCGCTGTAGACCTCTAGCCCTCGAGCTCTGTGTGTATATACAGGTGCAGGCAGGGTACAGACTAAACATAGCCGTGCTATAGCTAGGAGATGAAGCTGGCTCGTGGTTTCAGATTTTGAGGAGAGAGGAAAGGTTGTTTGAAGCTGAGCTGTAGGTAATCACGAGATCCAGTCTTCAGAAGGATATAAAACTAACTGCAGCTGTAAGCTAGCTATGTATCTCTTCTCACAAGATGCTTTATGTTTTGCGACTCTCACAAGTCGAAGTTGTTTTGTGTTTTCACGTGTATACAACGAATTCGAAGTTTTAGTACTCTGCCACCAAAGAGACTTGTTGACATCATACATACTTCTGTTGGCAGCTTTTGCTACAAACAAGTAGAAATACGGCTGTGCCTAAAATCTTGGCGAAACGCTCATACTTTCCTATACACGTAATTCGATTGTGTCGCCTCTCTCCGTGATGAATGAGTGAGAGCAAAACCTCGACGAGAAACACTGTGTTCTCCCCTGGCTCTCGGCCAGTAGTGCTATGAGTCCCTCTGCCCGACCCACTGTCCTTTATATAACTCACTTGCACCATTTAAGATTCACTTAATTTAAGTAACAGGCTCGCTGTGAATGTGGGGGTGGACTAACACAACTTTAATATGGGCTTGTGTATCCTGCTGCTGGTGCTCGCTTACTGGTTCAGCTGGCATGTTCTCTTTTTTGGTGAGATGGCAAGTGGCTTTACCAAAGAGGCTGTGTACAGTCCATACCAAGTATAATAGTGTGTGTGTGTGTGTGTGAACTACTACAGGTAAGGATATGCTGCTATAGTGACTCTGTTTATTTTCGGCGTAATGTAGGGAGCTAAATGTCTTACCAAATTTCATCAGATTTAACAATCCAGGGGGAGCTATATATAACTGTCTTTCCAGATTTTTTTATAGTTATGATAGTTCATAATATAAACCAGACTTTAACAGAGCAAAGAGCTGAATGTCATACCAAATATGGTAGTACGTAGAAGTCAGACTTGTGCAGTCGACTGCTTAGAAATTTTGATGTGACGCAGCGTGTATGTTACCTAATGTGCCTACGACATGTTGGAATGAGTGCGTGGGGAAGGAGGGGAGGAGGGGAGGAGGAGAAAGAGTGTGTGTGTGTCACTCGAGCTCTCTCTCCTCACCGCTCCCGACTGTCCAAGCGTGAATGTCCCTCTCAGGAGTGGTCGTAATTGTATTCAACAATTCACACATGCTCCGCTGGCTTGTGAATACACTCTCTCGGCCCCATAGTGAATGTGCATGTGTGCGGCGGTAAAGTAACTTGCAGTATGCTAGTATATCTAGTCACGAAATATCATGGGTAAAAGAGAGCTGCACAGACAGAACTATTGCTGCCTTTGATGTTTGTCGAGAGTACAATGCTGGTCATGCGTAAAATTTTCTGTCTGTTACGTCTTTTTGCACTGATGTTGAAGCCATGTATGATTTGTACTTTCTACCAGTGAGGCATGGTCGCTACTGTACATGAGAAAGATGAACAGTCTTGTACTGGGAATTAGGATTAACAAGGTAGTTCCCTTATTAGGAGAGCCTTAATAAAGAGGGACTATGGTATTTCACCACAACTACATACATGCTCTTTCCATATGTACCTACTACTGATCCATCTCCTTGTTTAGTCTCAGTGAAGCTTTAGGTAGTGGTGATATGTTATGTATAGTTATGAAATCCAATATAGCTTTGTTATGATAGGGTGGGTTTCCATGCTCATTAGCACGGGCAAAAAGTGTGCAATGCAAAAAGTGTGCAATGCGTAAGTTATGTACTTGTGCCACACCTACCCATTCAGTCTGCTGACATCTTCACCCTCCCCTTCTCCCATCTCTATGAATCCCATTATTACATCACACATCGTCTGTATAAAACTACTTGTCCCTCTGTACCATCCTCCCTCTCTTTCTTGACACTCTCAAACCTATCTTCGTCTGTTTGCCATAATATTGTGTATGGTTTTGGGTTTTTCCTCTGCTGTGTTATGTACATATGTATCTATGCTTAGCGTGTACAGGTGGAGTGATGTAGTCTAGAGCCCACTCTCTTCCACTTAGGACATTACATTAGAGACCTACAAACCAGGCCAAATTCGCCCACTTCAAGTCCCATTACTCTTGTAGCCAAATGACCCGACATTTATAGCTTACTTCCGTCTACTTTATGTGACCCTATGACATGCATATAATTGCAGCTCATTCTGTACATTATGTGATCCTGTTGCATTCCTACATTGTGACAATGTTAACACTTAACCAGCCACTGACACATAAATGTGTCCAGAGCCTCAATAAGTCCATAAGAAGAATTTATATGGGGGTTATAATACTAGGCGCTAATACTTCATACATCAATTTCTGCTTATTTAAACAGATCTCATGGCGTCCAAAGGGTTTTAAGACCATACAATAATTCAACACCTGACCCTAGCTTATACTACAGTCACATGTTGACATTTCGAAGCCTCCACAAAGTGAGCTTATGCCTTGTTTGTCTACTTACTTGTGTCTGTGATGCCCCACTACTTTACTATATAGGATAGACCTTGGAGGATGCTGTACCACATACACACTGACTGGATGTGTGTAGGAACTTAGAACAAGAGTATGTACTTAGTTCCTGGTATTATTCCATCTGACCTGTCCTCTGCAGGAGAAATGTTGACCTTCCCACCTGTTCCCCATTGTAGGGTCATGACCCTAGTCCCACCATCCATTAGTGTGTGTATGTAGAGTCTGCCATGCTGCTTCCTTTCTGTGGAGTCTGCATGCTCTGTATGTGAGACTCCAGAACAGTGTGGCAGACGGGTTGTCTACTCAGGCCACTAGGACAGTAGAACTAGAACAGGGAGAAATACAGGGTAAGACTTGTACTAGGAGGAAGTGTATGGTAGTAGTGGTCCTAGGAGAGTTGTATTAGGGAAACCCCTTTAATTCTCCACTACATGGCATAAAGTGGTTAGAATGTACATGTGCACTTGTAGGAGTAATAAAGCCATGAAAGTATACACTCTTGTGCCGGTGTGTCACGTTACATGTCCCGATGATCATGTACACATGTTAATAGACATCAGAAGCACAACAAGTGCACAATAAAGGGGTATCCACAACAGGCAGCTCACCTATAACTTACCTCCCCACATTAAAACAAGTGGAAAACCTACCCTACCTACCTATGTATGTCTCGACAACTTGGTAACGAGGTAGAGCAAGCAAAGGCAACAAGTCAAACTACACCAGCGATAAAGAGAAGAGCTGCCCTGGGTGGGATTAGAACCCACGACACTCTGCAGTCTAGGCGAGCGCTAGTTGTCTGAATTGCACAGTGTTATAATTTTCACATTATGTATAGACATTTGCTTAAAATCACCAAAATCTTGCACTCACCTTTGCTCACCAACAATGCGTTGCGCATTCGCCCAGTACGGCTTAGAATTTGCACTTGTGTGGTTGGTTACAACCAGACAGTGTGTACTAACACATTTTCCAGCATGGTATGTATGTGGTGTTAGACTATAGCATGGTACATACATGAGTGTGCTATAGTGTGCTACTACGTACATACATACATACATACATACATACATTGTGTTAGGGAATATTATATTGCTAGCAGTAGTGACAGACTGGCACACCACTAATTTGATACGCTGCAGTGGAATGTCGGGAATGCTGTGGTTATTTAGTTTCTCATAACCTCGGCTGGCTCCCTACCTTGTCACACTGACAAGTCATGTTATGGCTGGTCAGCCAACTAATCTTACTCCTTCACCTCCCTCCCACCTCCCTCTCCCCTCTCCTTCTCCCTCTCTCCCCCTTCCCTACTCTATCTCTTCTCCCTCTCTTCCTCTCTCTTCCTCCTCCCCCTTTCTCCCTACCTCCTCTCTCCTCCTCCAAACATTCCTCAGATGCCATTGTCAACAAGAGATGGGTCCTGGATGAAGTCATAGGCCAACTCCAGTCTCGTCTGGCCATACTATCAGGTCAGTTATACTAGCTACATACACGTGCAGTGTCTATACCCACCACCAACTTATGTTTCCTGCATAAGTGCATACACAGAGCTTAGTATCATACAGTAGATTATACCTTATCCATGAATGGAGTAGCGGTATCTCATTACTTGTCAGTATTGTACGGAGTTCATACGGATCATTCTCAGAGTAATACAAAATTGTCAGTATTGTACGGAGTTCATGGATCATTCTCAGAGTAATACAAACTTGTCAGTATTGTACGGAGTTCACGGATCATTCTCAGAGTAATACAAACTTGTCAGTATTGTACGGAGTTCACGGATCATTCTCAGAGTAATACAAACTTGTCAGTATTGTACGGAGTTCACGGATCATTCTCAGAGTAATACAAACTTGTCAGTATTGTACGGAGTTCATGGATCATTCTCAGAGTAATACAAACTTGTCAGTATTGTACGGAGTTCATGGATCATTCTCAGAGTAATACAAACTTGTCAGTATTGTACGGAGTTCATGGATCATTCTCAGAGTAATACAAACTTGTCAGTATTGTACGGAGTTCACGGATCATTCTCAGAGTAATACAAACTTGTCAGTATTGTACGGAGTTCATGGATCATTCTCAGAGTAATACAAACTTGTCAGTATTGTACGGAGTTCATGGATCATTCTCAGAGTAATACAAACTTGTCAGTATTGTACGGAGTTCACGGATCATTCTCAGAGTAATACAAACTTGTCAGTATTGTACGGAGTTCATGGATCATTCTCAGAGTAATACAAACTTGTCAGTATTGTACGGAGTTCATGGATCATTCTCAGAGTAATACAAAATTGTCAGTATTGTACGGAGTTCATGGATCATTTGTGTAAAAAACGGATAAGAACTCGAGAAGGCATGGGAAGTAAGTATTAAGATAAACGACTAGTGGGCGTGCAATACATCAAGATACAGAATTTTCACAACCCGTGCTCTGAGAACTATGTGGCGTGGAGTGCATCAGAGTATACTGTGAGCTAATGCATGTGCTAAACCCTTTTGAATACATAATTATACGTATACAGTACAGTATGTATGACACAGATAACGCGTGTGCATTTGTGCGAAGTGAGTAATTATGGCCAATATCTAGGGTCACATGTGGTAGAGGAGGAGGAGTATAAAATTGCATAACTGACACGTCAGAGACGCAATGCTTCGTACATCACACATGTATACATAATTGTCATTTGCACTACGTAGGTACGTACAAATGCTCCATGTTAATTCGTGGGCAACTCCATGCATTCTAGGCAATGAGTACAACGTGTGGGTGTGCACATGTTCATGGATCCGTAGAATTTCCAGGCTGATGCAGTGGCACACGCACTCCTTTGAGGAACTGTATGCATGTTGGGCCATTGGTGTACATAACATAGTGATAGATACAATTCAAGCATGCATGGAGTAAATTACATAAATGACACATTTTGTGCTCACTGTAGCCAACAAACTTCACGTAGAGTTACGACGTCTTATGTAATTGTTCCGTTGACCTTCTTCAGCTTCACTGTGTGTGAGAGTGAATCGAACGATCAAATCATCTGCATTCAATATCAGCTTCAAACACAATGCGTACACATATCTAATGTACACACATAATTATGTATCATAAGGGAAGTTTTTTCACTATGTCAAATGTATGTAGGAGGAGATGGCGATGCATGTGTTCCTGATAGGGAATGTGTGTGTGTGCCTGTGTGGGTAGATGACAGTTGGTGATATACAGAGGCAGTCCCCTGGGACAGACAAGCATGGCAATAGCATACGTACCTGTACATCTTTAGCAGCAAGTGACAGAGTCTGGGGTGGGCAAGCACGTTGGTGTCGTATTACTCTGGTTTGCACTTCCCGTGCCCACAATTCTTGCATCTCCCCATACCCACACGCTCTCTCCCCTCCCATCCTCCCAGCTATTGCATCTCCCCATACCCACACGCTCTCTCACCTCCCATCCTACCAGCTATTGCATCTCCCCATACCCACACGCTCTCTCCCCTCCCATCCCACCAACTCTTGCATCTCCCCATACCCACACGCTCTCTCCCCTCCCATCCTACCAGCTATTGCATCTCCCCATACCCACACGCTCTCTCACCTCCCATGCTACCAGCTATTGCATCTCCCCATACCACACTGCTCTCTCCCCTCCCACCTACAGCTATTGTCCCATCGTCCCCATCCCACTGACACAGCTCTAGGTCTCCCTCCCATCCTACCAGCTATTGCATCTCCCCATACCCACACGCTCTCTCACCTCCCATGCCACCAGCTATTGCATCTCCCCATACCCAGACGCTCTCTCACCTCCCATGCCACCAGCTATTGCATCTCCCCATACCCACATGCTCTCTCCCCTCCCATCCTACCAGCTATTGCATCTCCCCATACCCACACGCTCTCTCACCTCCCATCCCACCAGCTCTTGCATCTCCCCATATCCACAGTTTTTGCACCTCCCTGTACCGACTGCAATTGCATGTCCATACCCACCCTCTCCTCTCTAACTTGCTCACAACTCTTTCACCTCCCCTTACCATAACCTTTGCACCTCCCTGTACCGACTTCTCTTGCGTGTTCCATTTCCACAGCTCTTGCAACTCCTGTGAGCTCTTGTAGTTTCCATAAGTGTTTGTGCCTAGCATCTCCTGTGCACGCCTGTGACGGCCCGCACAACTTCCACAGCTAATACTCCAGGGAGCACTCTGACTGGACTAAAAGCTTTGCAGTTGTGGGGGAGGGTGTGTGTGTCTGGTGTATGATGTGTGTGTGTGTGCATGTATCACGCGTGTTAAGGGGCCACCCACGTACGTATGTACCTACACTCAAACCTGTTGTACAGTTGACTATTGTGTGTAATTGACTTGTTAGCTTTGCCTTTGCCCTTCTACTGTTCTTGTCACATGTACATATTATACTGTGAGTGTCACTTGCTTTTGACCTTTCCATATGACAACCCTCTAACTCCTCTATAATGCCTAATATGTGTATGTTGGTACAGGATCAAGGATATAAAACGTTTCTGTTCTCATTCTGTGCTATCACACTATGTGCCCCTATGATGTGCCTTGATACATACATAGAGTATGATGTGCAGTGTGTACGATATACAGAGGAACCTCTGATAAGGGACCCTCCAAGATAGGGACGATCTCTCTACAAAGGACACTTGTTTCAACCCCATGCTAATACTTTAGTGTATTATTTGACCTCCGAGATAGGGATGACTTCTCAAAAAGGACAATATCGTTGGCCTCATAGTGTCCCTTGTTCGGAGGGTCCACTGTACTGTTGAGACATTGGTTGTGCGGTGTAACATATGTGTGACAATCATGTGACCTACGTGTGTACATATCTGTAGGAGGGGAGGGACAGGAGAGGTGGACCAATCATAACCCTGTATGCCACCGAGGCGGCTGACCTTCGACCTTTCAACCTGGGCAAGATTCTGTCCTACCTCAGCAAAGTCCCCGAGTGAGTTTTTATGCCGCCTCCACTATGGTAGCTCTGGGGGGGCACTCTGTCCTGTGCTGGTTTATGCCTTGTCTTTGCCTCTACTGGTTATCCCGTGAAAACAGTCCACAAATTCTGGCAGTGAGTAGTTTGTGAACTTATCCAGTACTGCTGCTGCACTAGACACATTTATTGTATGTATCACTTGCCACACTTCACTGGAATCTCTATTCGACTGTATGCATGTGTCTGTCCATAACTGTGTGCTACAAAATAACGGTGGGTCCATGTGAAGTTTGAGGCTCTGCCTAGCGGATCCTCATCGTATGTCACTCAGTGTGGTTAGAGTCGTCACCTAGACCCGCAGAGTGTCGTGGTGGTTCGAATCCACCCAGGGCAGCTCTCTTCTTTCTGTCTTTGAAAAGACGATAAGAGCTCGTCCTGGGTGTATGTTGACTTGTTTGCCTTGCCTGCGTGTAGTCTGTCTATACCTACGCTGTACCTCATAGTTGTGAGACATGCAACGTGCAGTTATTGTGCATACTCTTGTGTGAGAACGCAGCGTTAACACTCCTCTCAATCCAGTACACTAAGGCTGGAGTGCACTATTAGTGCATCTTTTTTCAGAATAGAAGAACTAATGGTGTCTTTACAAAATGTCCTCATTTCAGGGGTTCTAGTTAACAAAAAACATCTGTAAACACACAAGTAGGCACCAATCAATCGAGTATACACTTTAGTAGTAACAACCCTTTAGTATCGATCAAGTAACAACTTTGTAGGCAGTATCGATCAAGTAACAACCCTTTAGTAGGCACAGTATCGACAAGTAATCACACCTTTCAGTAGGCAAGTATTTCATCGATAGGTAACAACCCTTTAGAGCAAGTATGATAGAAGAAACTTATAGCAAGTATCGATCAAGTAACAACCTTAGTAGGCAAGAGTACGATCAAGTAACAACCCTTTAGTAGGCAAGTATGTGTCAAGTAACAACCCTTTAGTAGGCAAGTATCGATCACAGTAACAACCCGTTAGTATGCGACAGTATCGAATGGCAAGTAACCAACCCTTTAGTAGGCAGTATCGATCAGCAGTAACAATCCCCTTTAGTAGGCAAGATATCGATCAGAGTAAGTAACTCCTTTAGTAGGCCAAGATCGATCGGATCAAGTAATAATCCTTAGTAGGCAGTATCGATCAAGTAACAACCCTTAGTAGGCAAGTAGTCGATCAAGTAACCACCCCTTAGTAGCAGCACGTATCGATCAAGTAACAACCCTTTCAGTAGGCCAGTAGCCGTCAGGGCTACAGAGTAACAACCCTTAGTAGGCAAGTACCTCGATCAAGTAACAAGACCCTTGAGTAGGCAAGTATCGATCAAGTAACAACACTTTAGGTAGAGCATGAAGCATCGAGTGCAGTAAAGAACCCTTTCGTAGGAGAGTATCGACAAGTAATGCCGATAGTAGGTAGCTCATCAGTTGGCTAAGTGCGTTGTGAGTACTCTGTGTGTGTGTGACGTCATCGTGTTTGACTCGAAACTACACGTTTTTCTTGACATGTGGGCCTAATGAAGGGCTGTGAGAACATGTGTACGGTCTATAGTGGTAACCAATGCAAGCTGTGTGTACATATAGTTCATAGACTGTGACTGTGCTTAGCTATATGCTACCTACGTACATAGCTGTATATATATACATATACATACAACACATGTATAAATTTACATGCCATGGAATGTTCTCTGCAGTCCATGGTAATCATTCGCTGGCACTTCAAACATTCGGTTTAATTTGTGTGTACGCAGCTTCACACGGGTCCCGTCTGTAAGACGGTACTTGTCTCATGTCTCTCTCTGAACAATCATCTAACACTAACTCAGTCTCGTCTCTCTCCGATCATAATCATCTATTCTCGGTATAATTATGAAGTCATGAACACATATGACAATGTGGACGGTCTCGCTACCACTAACATGCAAACACACAACAGGACATGCTCACGCGATTCGGACGCGTAACACGCTCACCTTCCTGGGATCTCTATCAGCTAGTCTCAGACGGAGCATCCTACCTCGTCTCTGTCGTTCCGTATGGCGTCAACTCTCGACCGTCATCCGATCATCCACTCTAATCCCATCACGCTCCGCCTCCTCCCCGCTCCTATCTCCCCTCTCCCTCCCAGTGAGGCCAGTCCAAGGATCAAGGGTTCACGTATGCGCGCATGCCCAGACGTCTAGCGTGGACTGTCGACCTGAAACATGCATGCAAGAGTCTCCAACTGGACGTCGTTGTGAGCATATCCACGCAGCTATCTCATCGTCAAAACCGAGGTCGTTCTGGCAGAGACAGAAAGAACCGGAGTGAACGTCTCTCTCAAGAAGGGAAAATACGGCTCTTTTCCTGTGAGTTTATAGGACTGTCCCTTCTCTCTTTGTTTCAATTGTTTTTCCATGCATGATGCCATGTGGAAAAGCTTTCAGATGGCAAAACTAAACACAATGCGACATATATAAGTTTCACGCATATTTTAGTGCATTACAGTATGGGCACACTATAATCTGCAAATGATTATACATACGGAAAAGGACGACTCTGTGCTCCACTCATGTAGTAATGTGTGAGATGGTACAGCAATTAGATTCAACAACTCTTCTCCTCCCTTTTCCCTCCCTCTTCTCACTACTCTCACATCTCTCTCTGTCCTGGCCCCTCTCATCCTGGACCAGGTGATAATGTTGGAGAATTCCGGAGAGCTCTTCCACACCTTCAGGGTCCCAGGTGACCTCTGACCTCGGTGGGACCATCAGATTCACCACCAGGAGTGGATTGACACACAGAGGGTATGGCGTGGCTGTGCAGTCATAGTAGCCCCATGTATGCTGTAGGGAAGAGCCATCCGGGATGCACAGAGTGTATGGCGTAGGCCTGTGCAGTCATAGTTAGCCCCCATGTATGCTGTAGGGAAGAAAGCCATCGGGATGCACAGAGGGTATGGCGTGGCTGTGCAGTCATAGTAGCCCCCATGTATGCTGTAGGGAAGAAAGCCATCGGGATGCACAGAGGGTATGGCGTGGCTGTGCAGTCATAGTAGCCCCCATGTATGCTGTAGGGAAGAAAGCCATCGGGATGCACAGAGGTATGGCGTGGCTGTGCAGTCATAGTAGCCCCCATGTATGCTGTAGGGAAGAGAAGCCATCGGGATGCACAGAGGGTCTGGCGTGGCTGTGCAGTCATAGTAGCCCCCATGTATGCTGTAGGGAAGAAAGCCTCGTATGCACAGAGATGTATACAATTGACATTGTAGACTCTGAACTTACGTAGTATCACATAAAACGGTGTGTATGCATGTGGAGATTTCTCAGACAGTCAGTCTCAGTCTCAAAAGAGACGAGTGTTGAGAAGAGTAAAGTGTGTGTTCACACACAGGCTGGTAGCTGCACGTAGGTTTTACAGTATGTGGAGCACAAGACTATGCAACGCCACACACTAAAATCCAGGCAGTATTAGCCACATGCTCGGCTCTCCACACAGCAAATCTCATTCCTTTAAGCATTCTAAAACTACATCTAAACCTACCGTCTCCATAATTGAGCATCTACTGGCAATGCTGGTATATATGTACATAATAAAGAACACGGGATATTACTCTATACCTGTATGTAGCTATACGTATGTAGTTACTCTTCGCAAACTCCAGTGCTATGTATATACAAATAGACACGGGATATTGCTCTATACCTGTATGTAGCTACATATGTATTTACGCTGAGCTGCTCAAATCCAGTGTATGTATATACATATATAGAACCGGGTATTGCCATACCTGTATGAGCTACCTAGTATGTACGCTGCGCCTTCAGACTCCAGGTCTATATTAGACATAATATAGAACAGGGGATATTGCTCTATACCTGTATGTAGCTAACATATGTATGTTACGCTGCCTAACTCCAGGTGCTTATGTATATACATAATATAGAACACGGGATATTACTCTATACCTGTATGTAGCTACCTATGTATGTTACGCTGCCTCAACTCCAGGTGCTTATATATATACATAATATAGAACACGGGATATTGCTCTATACCTGTATGTAGCGTACCATAGTTGTTACGCTGCCTCAACTCCAGGTGCTTATATATATACATAATATAGAACACGGGATATTACTCTATACCTGTATGTAGCTACCTATGTATGTTACGCTGCCTCAACTCCAGGTGCTTATATATATACATAATATAGAACACGGGATATTGCTCTATACCTGTATGTAGCTACCTATGTATGTTACGCTGCCTCAACTCTCCAGGTGCTTATATATATACATAATAAAGAACACGGGATATTACTCTATACCTGTATGTAGCTATACATATGTATGTTACGCTGCCCTCAACTCCAGGTGCTTATATATATACATAATAAAAAACACGGGATATTGCTCTATACCTGTATGTAGCTATACGTATGTATGTTACGCTGCCTCAACTCCACCCCAGTGGCTTGTAGATAATAATATAGAACACGGGATATTGCTCTATACCTGTATGTAGCTACCTATATGTATGTTACGCTGCCTCAACTCCAGGTGCTTATATATGTACTTAATAAAGAACACGGGATATTGCTCTATATGTAGCTATACGTATGTATGTTACGCTGCCTCAACTCCAGGTGGTGGAGAAGCATCTGATCCAGCTACTGAACCGTCTGGACGGCTACGAACGCACGTAGAGGTCATAGCTGAGGCAGCATGAGAATCCTTCCAGTCTCATCATCGGGCCCGGGACTCTGTCCGTCGCCACGTGGACGCCCAGGACATCATTGCAAAGGTCCTCCAGCCATACATACGTAATTTCATACATACATACATACATACATATAACCCTCTGTTTTGCATGTTGTAATGGGGTTTGGACTCATCAATGGATCGTACAATGCATTGCATACGTACTCTCTACTTGCTTGTTTTTACATGTACATATGCCAAGATTAGTCTTTTCTATCTCATTACACATGCATAGGCCAATATTAGTCTTTCTATATATCTGAGTGAGTTAACTACTAGGTCTATACCAGTATATGTGATCTTGTGTTGCAATGCTGTTGCAATGCAAAACTTGTGCTTCAATAAAGCTTGGCTTTAGGGTTTGATGCTTTTAGGCTGTAAAAGAAATTGAACCGCTAAACGATCAGTGTCATATTTTAGATGGTTAATGTGATTTATCTAGATAAAAGTTACAAACACGAGCAACCACTGCGAACCTGTTTTGTTTCGTATGATGTAGCAGCTGTAGCTGCTAGTAGTGGTTTGGGTAGCCTTGACTCAAGGTTGAGAGTTAGCTGTTGCGAGAGTGTGGGATCGTCGTGACTATTTTCGGTATCTGGACTGTGGTGCTGCACAGGAGGCATCTGTGACTGTGAATGTGAGTGTGCAGTCAGCCATGCCATGCGCCCAGCTGCGTCCCTGCTCCATTCCCGGCACTTCAACGGTGAGCATCTTCATCACGCCTATACCACGTGGACACTCTTCAACCTGACGTAATTACCCCATCCTTGGTTGCCTGCAGTAATAGTATCACCATGTCGTGTATGCATGTCAGGGAAAGAAGAGATGATATCTCCAAATCATACATACCAAGACAAAATACACTGATATATCACCTTACTAAATTATTTCAGCACACAACTAGAGCTTACTACTTGGTTATAATAACAATCGTAACACTACTGCATGTGTGAAAAGAGGCCATAAGACCACACAGAATGTATTTGGTGTACACTACCCAGTGGGCCTCTTAATATTCTTATAAAACATAAACACGACGATTTAAATATGCAAATTGGTCTTAAAAGGTATGCATACATAGATTCACTGTGTCTGAGCCTGTTGTTACTTGTGTGTGTGTGTGATGGTGTGTGACTCAGCATGTTTTGGTCGACTGTAGGAGATGTGTTTTCGTTGTCCCTGCTGTCCATGCAAAGTCCGCTCAGAGGAGTGGGACATAAAGGGAGCCAAAAATTTTTGACTCAGGTTGTGTCTCAGCTGCGGAAATACGAACAATGCTCTTCACAGGTCTGGTGGCATTAACCTGCAGGCCAGCTGGCAGTCGTGGTATACATCTCTACCGGCATCCATAGTCTGCATTGGTAGCTACATACGTTTACTCATTGTCTTGTGAATTGTGCCTTGTGCCACAGCCATTGTTGACAAAGTGCCTAATTATTGTATCACTACACTACAATTGTATCATTAATACTAATGATTCATGATATTCGGTACCAGATGCAACACATTGTTGGCGAGCAAACAGGGTTGAAATTCTTGCATTATCTAATGGAAGTGCCTCTACACATTCAACAAAATACAGAAAGCTGTTCAGTCGATACACCATTCTGTAATGACTCATTCCCATATCCGGGTATCGTGCTATATGTAAGTGTGCGTTTTGCCGCTAATCATGAGTTCCACTGCCGAGTTTACCTCGCTATATTACTAGAGCAACGCCAGAAGGCCAAGCACGCACAACACACCTGTATTCTCCTCTCACTGACCTTCCCCGTCCCACAGATGATGCAGTGGTGGAGACGGATCAGAGTTTTCTCCGACGACCACACAGACATTGGAGACTCTCTCTGGCTCTGCAGAGATCAACAACAAAGGGCCTTCCACAACTTCCATCACAAATTTCTGTTTGTCCAAACTACATTAACACACCGTCCTCCCTGTCTATCTCGTTCTTTCCCTTTTCTATCCCTTCGCCAGTTTACTTACTGATACCCTTTCTCTCAAACACTTCTGGTTCTCGGTCTCTGCTGGTGTCTTCCTCCCTTCCTCACACTGTCCTGATCACTTCTTCTCTTCCCTCCTTTTCCCTCCCTTCTTCAGGAATGTGCCTTAGCTCTCTTTCATGCCACTATACTTTAACTCACCTTGGCCCTCAATTCACTCTCCTTCACTTCTCTTTCTCACCTCTATTTAACTCCCTAATTTTATTCCTTAATCACACTCTCTCTCCCTTCATCCTTCACCTCTCTGTCTTCTCCTCCCTCACCATTCTCTTATCCCTTCATCCGTCACACTACTCTCAGTCTCCTCGTCCCTCATTCCAGAGCTCTCGTCACACTCATCTCTAACTTATCCCTCACTCATCTTCTCCTTCATCTTCACCACTTCATTTTCCTCCCTTACATTCTTTACCACCAGGTTAACCACACCTCCCTCCCTACCAGAGTATCAGTACCAGGAGATCAGTAGAGTCATATACCACATACGACCCTACACAACCTCTCTCCACCTTACCCACTCTTTTAACCCCTCCCTCTCCTCTACCAGGTGTCGAGTACAGATGAGTTCAGTAGGGTCATAACAGTATGGAGAGAGACTCGTAGGCTCAGCGACACTATGCCCTGGACGTGATGCAGTGGGCAACAGAAGCTGAGACAGCGGGGAGAGTCTCAGGATCGTGGAGGACAGAAACAGATCATGTTGAGCTCGCGCGTCGTCTTCCACGACTGGCAACAGAAGGTGAGCATGCAGATATTTTGTTATTCGGCTACTCTTTACTGTATGTTTCACGAAGAGCTCCACGTGCTTTATTGCCATTCCTCCTTACACATACACATATATACCTGTATATGTACCACAAGTTTTTAACCTCACTCACTTATCATTCTTCTTCCTCCTTCTCGTCAGGGCCTCCTGGTTCTATCGTCCTGTGCCGTGCGCCCCCTGTGCTCGTGTGGTAACTTTCATGCGTCTCTCTCTCCTCTCTCCTCTCTATTCACCCTCCTCACCCACTCCTCATCCCCTCCTCACCCACTCCTCTCATCCCCTCCTCTCCCCCTCCTCCCTCCAGTTCTTCCTCCATATAGATGTGTGGAGTGAGGCCTGCTCCTCAGGACTGGTACCGTCCAGTACAGGGCTGTGTAAAGAGTCACTGGCACAGCACAAGGCCCTGCAGGAGAGATACCAGCTCATGTACAACACCACTCGTACTGAGGGACACAGACTCATCGAGAAACTCAAGAAACCTGTTGGAGAAAGCAGGTATGTTCAGTATATGATTTGCAACGTGCCCTCGATATAGCCATACAGTGGCGCATCCTAGTCCTTGGTTCCGCGTAAACTCCCTTGTTTATCGTTTTGGTCACGCATGTGTCGCCCCGCCGGCCTCGTGCACGTGCATGAGCGCAGTCAAAACGTTCTTGGACAGCATATGACCCCCCCTTTCAAAATCCTAGATCCGCCACTGAAAAAAAAGTGTGTGAATGTGAAATAATAGCTGTCTGGGCCAGAGCTTATGCGCTCACATTACATACGTATTACGTACAACTGGCAACTGAGCACAACAAGCAAGCGTACTGTATACCTTGCCTTTGTGTTGAAGATTTGAACCCCACCAGTATGTATGTTTGTTTAAACCCCTACCAGCTGAGTTGGCCTGGTGGCTCAGTTGGTAGAGTGCTCACCTAGACTGCAGAGTGTCGTGGGTTCGAATCCAACCTAGGGCAGCTCTTCTTTTTTTCCTTGGAAAAAAGAGCTTGGTTGATTTGTTTGCCTTTGCCTTTCTACCTCACTTTGTTTGTTGACACATACATACGTACGAATTGCTCGTGGCTTGTCAAAGAATGTAAGGAGTCCTTACATACATATTGAATCGGTTGAATCGCTTGTGGCTTTCAAAAATGGTATATACAGTACAGTAGACCTTAGCAGAGAAAGGAAAGGAGTCACCACAGTGGAACCTCCGAAGGAGGGACAATTTGGGCCCAATGATTATGTCCCTTGCAGAGAGGCCATCCCTATCCCGAAGGTCAAATAATACACTAAAGTATTAGCATGGGGTTGAAACAAGTGTCCTTTGTAGAGAGGCCATCCCTATCACACTAAAGTATTAGCATGTGGTTTTAACGAGTGTCGTTTGTAGAGAGGTCGTCCTTATCTCGGAGGGTCCCTTATCGGAGGTTCCACTGCTATTATGCCCGTTCTTCTCTGTCCTCAGTGTTCCGGCCAAGTTTGTGATGGGTTCTCGTCACGTGAAGGAGACTCTGGAGAACCTGTTTGACGAGTCAACTGGTTGGGAGAGCAGTGGTCTCGCAGGAACGCCACTCTCCAGCGAGCCCTCACCTACAACCTCTTCCTGGACGAAACCAAAAAGGTCAACCTTTAATCCTCTGTCAACACACATTTACATGGTGGACAGTGGCACGTTTGAGCTTCTCATGTATCCATGAGCTCAAATGGCAGCCAAAGCCCTTGTGCCATAAAACAGTGCACAGTCATGTGTGTACATAGTGGTGTTCCCTGAGACACTCACAAGTTACCCCAGCATCACGCCCCGGTTCAATCATGTACATAGTGGTGTTCCCTGAGACACTCACAAGTTACCCCAGCATCACGCCCCGGTTCAATCATGTACATAGTGGTGTTCCCTGAGACACTCACAAGTTACCCCAGCATCACGCCCCGGTTCAATCATGTACATAGTGGTGTTCCCTGAGACACTCACAAGTTACCCCAGCATCACGCCCCGGTTCAATCATGTACATAGTGGTGTTCCCTGAGACACTCACAAGTTAACCCAGCATCACGCCCCGGTTCAATCATGTACCAAAACATGTTCTTGCAAAAGTATTATTATTGGCTAGTCACATATATAGTCTGCTTAGGTTTCAGTCCAAGATGGGCAAGATGTGTGGACCACAGTCTGTCACAGTAGAGAGAGCGAGAACATTGCGTGTAAAAAAACCTGATCTTTGTATACGTAAATCCTCTCAACAACCACATTCTGTAGCTTTGATCTACCCATTGCCAAACACACTGTGTATGAACTTTATGTAATGTGTAGGTGTATTCGTGGCTGGGGGAGAGGGGCTGGGTGTTCCTGGTCTCCAATGCCTACCTCGGAGGTAACACCAGTGGAGCTCAGGCTCTCATTCAGCAACACGACACCTTTGAGACTGAGGCAAAGGTCTGTATGTATACATTCTACTAACATTCAGTGAGCCATTAGCTGTAACAGTGGTTGTTTATCATCCTCCAAACTCTATTTACTTTTCAACCTCCTGTTACCTCATTATGATGCGTCGTTTGCATGGGGATCGGTACGCACATTGAACCTCTTCCACATTATACATACCACTCCCGCCAAATTCTAAAATGTGTCGTGTGGATTTTAATAGGGAGGATGAAGATAGATAATTTGGAGACTCTTAAACAGGCCTATGTGAACTGAAATTTGGCAGTAAATGCACGGATAGGATTACATCATGCATAGCTTCTAATTTTTGTGTACTTTCAATTTCCCAAAACATCCGAATTTTAATTGTACTACCATTATGCATCTTCTAAGACACCCAGGGCAGCTCGATTTTCGTTGGGAAAAACGTTGTCCTGGGTGTACAGGGTTTGTTTGCCTTTGCTTTCACTTCATTGTTTACACCAACAACCATTCTCTCTCTCTTTCTTTGTATTCACAGGAGATCTACAGTACCAGTCTCCAGCTATTTGAGCGAGCTCGTCAGCTGGCTGCCAACGGGGAGTGCGAGAGGGAGCTGCTGGAGGGGGAGTCACGGAAGCTAGAGGTGGCCGTCCACACGTTTGCTGCGGTGCTGGACGAGAGGAGAGACCTCCTGGTCCAGGCCTGCACCTTCTACTGCAGCCA